TTTACCGGGCAGTTCTGTTTGTGACGATATATATATTTCCCTCTCACCTCACATATTTTAGCTGGCGTGACTTTTTTTTTCTTGGCCCTGGCTCCATATCCATTCTCGGGAGCATCAGAGTCCCGTTTCTATTCCCCCGGCAAGTCAAAATAGTAACCTTCATCAATTTACTTACACACACAAGCATCCTCCTTCCGTTTGGCCGAAGGATCCCTGATTTTCATCCTGAACTTTTTTTTTTTTTTTTTTTCGTCCTTATGTTCCTGAACTGTCCAATTTAATTTTTTTAACCCTAATGCAAGGAAAATAAGCAATAGCGAGATGACAATATTCAGATTGCACAATCACATTGAAAGCCAGATCGTATCACAGTGTCCAGAAAGCAGCATATTGCACCTATAAGACACCAATGGCGAATCGTAACACTGAAAGCCAATGTCAATGAGAGGCTTGCTCTCGCCACCACCAACATATGTGTCCAGGCCTATCTCCCTACTTGGCGCTCGGCGCCCAGCCTACTGCGTACACAGCTACTAGCAGCCTACTAATTGACAATGCAACTGTTGACGTCAGCAGGCGACGAAGTACTTGAAGATGTTGCCCTTAGCAGACCATCGCCAATACCAGGTATGCACCCTCACATCATCATCATCATCATCCTTCTCTCTCTCCCTTGACTTACACCCACGTCTTCCCTCCGTACACCCGAAGACCACTCCTGCGCCTCACTGTACTCCAAGCCTCAGCCAGCTATGGAGGTCGGGCTATGGCGCTGCCCTCAGCAGCACCCTCAGCAGCGCCCTCACTCACACACGACCGGACGTGCTCGCACCTTGCCTCTCAGCGCCAGTAGCAGCCTACGAGCGTCCGCTCCACCAGCGCTGCCACGAGCATGCAAGTACCTGAATGCCAGCGCAGGCAGCGAGCTCTTTCCTATATGGAAAGAGCCTGCCTCGATCGGCAGCCTGGCTGGCCTGGGCCTCGGCCCAGAAGCTTCCGGTAGGCCCCAGGATGCTGCGCCTCTGTTGCAGCTACTGGGCCCCATTCTTTCAGGCCACCCAACTGTCTGTCTATGAGGCTGCGATTCTCGCCCAGGGTCTGCATTTTCGGAAAGGCCTGGAAAGGCCGTGGAATGTCTTTGCTGCTCGGCCCGTGTTTCCGTCAACCAACTGGCGCGTCACAACTGCCTCAACCCTAAATACGAAATTGACAGCTGAGGGCCTCTCGTGATTTGCTAGGCCCGCCTTCACTTAGGGTGGGCACATTTGCAACAGGGCCCCTTAGGCCTGCCGAGGATCCAGGTCCTCGCACTAACTGCTGCTTCTAAAATGACCAAAGCTTCATCTTAACCGCTGCTTCTGAAACTGCAAATTTTCGTTTTAACTGCTGTTCCCAGAATCACCAATTTGCATCCTCACTACTGTCCCCAAAATGGCCAATTTGGAATTTTCATCCTCTTTTGTCTGTTTGTTTGTTTTTATACTGTCGAATGATGTGGATTCCATTTTGTTTTTTGAAGTACCAGTCGTTTCACGGAAGAAAAAAAAAAAAAAAAAAACGGCCAGTCGACCCAGAGTCCATGTTTTGGAGGTACACTCCCCCCGCCCTGCTGTTTCCTGAAATGACCAATTTCCAGCCGTAGGGCATATACTCACACTAAGACGTTTTGACGTGTTAATAGCCATAGTTGCAGTCGGGTACATCCAAGTCCGGTTCTACATGTGGCTAGATACATTTAACACACTGCTAGTGTGAGTGGCCCCTTACTGCTTCAAAGTTCAAAACACACACACAAAAAAAAAAAACAAAGAAAGAAAAAAAAAAGAAACTGCCAATTTTCAGCGTAACGGCTCTTTCCTAAATGTTCAGTTTTGAATTTTTTTATTTTTTATTTTTAAAGGCAGTTTTGAATTTTCATCTCCGTTGCCGTTTCAAAGATTACCTTTTTTTTTTTTTTTTTTTTTTTTTCCAAAGGGCCATGGCCTTTAGATATCATCATTGAATACTGACCGGCCCCCCAGGCAATTCAGAATGATTTTTTTTTTCAAGTTTTCATCGGAAGGGATCCGGATCTGCATTTCAACAGTTCAGGGGTGTACCAACTGATGAGCTAGGCCGGTTGGTAAGATTGCCAATTTCCATCCTCTTTTTTTTGTCAAGTTTTTTGTTTGAAATTATTTCAGACTTTGGAATATAAGGTTTTTTTTTTTTTTTGGGATTATAAGTTCTACCACCAGTTGTTGAAGACCCTTTTTTTTTTTTTTTTACGTTTTAAAACCCTTCGGTGTTGCCCTGACAGTTTTTCCATCGTTATATTAATGTATGGGACCTGGAGGGAGATCCCACTAGCCATGTATTTGGAGTAGTGTAGAGGGTGTGTGACCCGCCTCCGCCGTCGATGGGAATGGGGATCGGTGGTTTTTTTTTTCCCTGTATTTTAGCAGTCGATAATTAATGTTTTTTTGGAGCATCGCATTGGGTGGTCTTTCTTTTGTTTTGCTTGCCGTGTTCCTCTTGGGGTCCCGAACGTGAGTGAAAATCAGACCCATTTTTTTTGTGTTGCTTTTCACTCATCTTTCACTCACCTTTGGGTCGTGGCCCATGCGTGGAAGAGAGGCTGAAAACGAAATATTTCGGTGTTTCGCATCATGAGGGAATGTCAGTCCGTGTCAGACCCTCGTCCAAGTTGTCTGTAGTCCCCGAAAATAATGTCCCACATGGCTGTTGTCCTCTTCCTTTGACATGCATGTGCCCCCTTATTTTTGGAGAGGTGACTGGGAGGGTTCGATCCCCTCACCTGCAGCAAATGGTGTATGGAGTTACTCTTGCCCTTGTTTTTTTAGGTTTATTTTCCCTATTTCACGCTGCCACCCACCTGTCCCCCACCCGTCCCCCAGCCGTCACACTAATCCACATACCTGGCTAGTGGGATCTCCCTCCTGGGGCAGTCAGGTCGGTACCTCCAAGAGGCGGCCTCCAGCTTTTAAACCAGCGACCGTTTTAAACAAGTACCGTCTTCTCCAGAGTAGAACGTACGGTCATTATGCTTGTATTTGGCTCAACTTTCAGTCTAATACAGCCATAATGACCGTACGTTCTATTCGGGGGAGGACG